ACGCAAAAAGAGTTGAATATGCGTCAACGACGATGGCTCGAACTTCTTAAGAACTACGATGTCCGAATTCAATATCATCCAGGCAAAGCCAATGTACTAGCCGATGCCCTTAGCCGTAAAAACAGTGGTAACGTATCGTCTTTAACCGTTCAGTCCCATATTGCTTCAGATCTAGAACGTATGGGTATTTCTTTGTGTTATCATGGTACAAATGAACTTTTGGCTAGTCTCACGGTTGAACCAACTCTTGTATCTTGAATAAAAAAGGCTCAAGAAGAGAATGGAGAACTTTGGGCTATCTTACAAAAGGCTAAAGATGATTCACAGTCTAATTTTCGAGTTGATGATAAAGGTATTATCTGGTTCTCTAATCGACTTTGTGTACCCGACAATCCTGAACTCAAAGAAGCAATTATGAGTGAAGCTCATAATTCGTTATTCTCAATTCATCCCAAATCCACTAAGATGTACCGAGATCTAAAACAATACTTTTGGTGGAACGGTATGAAACGGGATATAACCGAATACGTGGAAAAATGTCTTACTTGCTAGAAAGTGAAGATTGAACATCAACGGGTTAGCGGATTGTTACAACCATTAGAGATTCCAGTTTGGAAATGGGAACATATCTCTATGGATTTGGTGACAGGATTGACGAAAACTCAGAGACGACATGATGCTATATGGGTAGTAGTTGACCGTTTGATAAAATCGGCTCATTTCCTACCTATACAGGAGACGTACCCTGTTAGTAAACTGTCCGATCTATTCCAGCGGGAAATTGTGAGGTTACATGGCATGCCAGTTTCTATCACATCGGACCGAGATCCATGATTCACTTCTCGATTCTGGAAAAGTCTTCACCAGGCTTGGGGTACGCGATTGACTATGAGTTCAAGTTTTCATCCACAAACAAATGGTCAGACTTAACGAACTATTCAAACTCTAGAAGATATGTTACGGGCTTGTGCTCTTGAGTGGTCTGGTGGTTGGGACGAGTCCCTATATCTTGTGGAGTTTGCGTATAACAATAGTTGGCAAGCTAGTRTCGGCATGGCCCCGTACGAAGCTTTATATGGTCGGAAGTGTAGAACACCGATCTGTTGGAATGAAGTGGGGGAACGAGTGATCGAAGGACCTGAACTTGTCCGGATTACTACTGAACAAGTCGAGATCGCAAAACAGAAAATGAAAGAGGCTCAATCTCGACAGAAAAGTTACGTTGACAAGCATCGAAAACATTTAGAGTTCCAAACGGGTGATAATGTTTTCCTAAAAGTTTCACCGTTACGAGATATTCATAGGTTTGGAATTAAAGGTAAACTTAGTCCAAGATATATTGGACCTTTCGAAATACTGGAACGAGTTGGAGATGTGGCGTATCGCCGAGCGTTACCTCCTCAACTTTCACATATCCATAACGTTTCCATATCTCGTCGCTCCGCGGATATCATTATCACTCTCTCCATGTGATTGATTATCCGTTGGACAAAGTTGAAAAAGATCTATCTTATATTGAAGAACCCGAGGCGATAATTAATCAAGAAGAGAGACAAATGCGACGAAGGTCAATATCGTTCGTTAAAGTGTTATGACGAAATCATGTTTGAGCGAGAAGCCACATGGGAAACGGAAGAATCTATGCGAAAGGAATACCCTTATCTATTTGAGTCATGTATATCCTCTAACCCTATCTAAATTTCGAGGACGAAATATTTTTTAGGAGGGGAGGATTATAATATCCGTGTTTCGTTAACTTGTACAAATTAGGTTAAGAGAATTTTTGGTAGAATTATACATAATATATTTGTACCATATGCTTAACCAACTTGTACCTCATACTAGTTTTGTGTCAAAAGTTAAGTTTATATCTATATTGACATAAAGTGGAGAATCTAACTTAAAGGGTTAAAAACCGTTAAATAGTTAAACTTTATATATATATATATATATATATATAATATTAATTAAAAAAAATTATATATATATACATGAATGGATGAGGCGGTTTACAAACCGTCTCAATCTCTCATCTCTTTTCTCTTTCTAAAAAATCCCTCGTTTTCTCTTTCAATTTTACGTCAAGTTAGTAAGAGGATCGAAGTAACAATTATATATTCAGAATCTACTCAACGAACCATTCTTAAAGGTATAAATTTCATTCAATTTTATTAAGGTGTTTATTTTAGGGTTATTAAGACCGATTTATAAATTCTGTTTATATCTAAGTTTACGGATTGATTTTGTCAAAATTATGATATATTTGATGCTTAGAATGCTAGAACTGGTTAAATTGATGTCAAAATTAAAAGGGTATATTATAGTTTCAATATGGTTAGATTGTGGACATATGTTTAATCGTACACCAATTATTCGGTTAAATGTCGAAAAGAGTAAAATGCATGATTAAGCTTAGGTTAACGACCATTGGACTTGTTTTACTGTTTAGTATGTTGAAGTATGTTTATAGTATATAAATGTAGCGAATCATGAAAGTTGGATCATAAAAGTTAGACGGAAATTACGGAATCGACTTTTACCGACAAAACAACTCTTGTACTTTGATAGTGTATAACTCACAAACCGTAAGTCGGAATAAACTCGTATTTTGTAAACAAGAAGATCTTATTGCATACTACAACTTTCATGAAGGGTCGATAATCCAGTTATGATTCTAGGTGGATCGAAACAGTGTGTTTTTAGGGCTGTTTACACTGTATTCGGGATTAATTTGCAGTTTTATAAAATTCGTATAAAATAGATGGATGATCCAAATGAGATGATTTTAAAAGCAATAAACTCGTATGATACCAACCTACAACTTTCATTTAGAAAATATAATCTGGATTGGTCTCTAAGTAAGATAAAAATGCTTAGAAATAAGAGGGTCGGAAACGGTTGGATCGAAAGAGAATAATGCTAAGTTTTACGTTTGAGTTTTCAATTCGTATCCGGCTGTCCTTCTTGAAGTCTACGTTGTTTTAGTACATTAAGACCTAAGTAATTTTATTAGAATAGTTATATTATGGTTTCTATGCTTTATAAATAGTAACCCGTTTATACATTCGTTAGGCACGCGGACAAATCAAACTTGATCGTGAATTTCCATTTGATCGTGCGTTAATTGTCAAATTCAGTTAATGTACGGATTTCATATCTCACTTGAGACGGGGATTGCCATTTGCGTAAGGCTTCCTAATCCAGATAATCTGTGATAAATTTCGAATAATTTGTTCTGAATTTCCTTTATGCTTATCAAATGTTATTGAACTTTGTTTCCCTTTGAACTACGACTTATATTTTTATTCGGAATATGGATCATTTTGATCATTTGACTTGTTTTGTTGCTTCATTTGTGGAATATTTTACTATAGACTCAATAACTGAAGCACCGGTATTGAGATGTTTCCATGGTGACTAAAACGATGATGGCATCCTTATTTTTATAGTCCTTAAAAGTGGACTTGATTATGTAACGGTCGAATAGAGGGCATATGGATCTATCCTAGGAACCGTTATCGGATATTGAATTATGGCCGTGGTTAAATCCACGGAGAGGATTGCTGTGTTATGCTCATACCCCTTTCCTCACTTGTGCCTGAGTGGACTGATCATCCTTTGGGAACAATGCGTCCTTGTGATGCAGTTTGGTCTTCGGACCCTTGATATGCTTTTGGGGCATTTTGACTTTCTTTTGAATTATCACTTGGCGTTATAAATTGTTTTTGAACTTGTTATCTCATATTCATTGTTTAATTATTGTTATCCGTTCACTGAGCATTAAGCTCAGCCGATATTTTCTTGTCCTCGGCAGGTTCATGAGTTAGCAGGGATTTTGGGATGAGAGCTACGTAGATGACAATATTGAAGATAACTCATTAAGTCATACTTTTGTTAAACTTTTGATGACTATTGTAGATATACTGATATTTTGGGACCGTATTTTGAGACACGTTATCTCCGTCTATGGTTATGTAATTATCTTTTGGTAAATTTTATTAGCTGCTCTGTTTTATATAGCGCGTTGTTTTTTTTTATTCCACTTGTGGCATCTCCCGTCTTTGACCACGCGGGACGGGGGTGTTACATTTCGACTATATATATTTGATGCGTGACTTTCTAAACGCAATGGAGTAACCAACTTTGGATAAGTGGTCCTCGATACTGTTTCATGCACAACTTGTTCTGCATCTTTGTTTCTCAATACCAATGTCATAGTTACTAAGGAACTGAACCAAATCAAACCAAAACGATTCGTATATATTAATATACGAATTCGAACTCTCAGATGTTTATGTTGTTTTCATAAGACCAGACATCGATGTGTCCTTATAAAAGGCAGGAATCCATGAGGATCAGATGTCATACATTTCTGCGAACCAAGAATCACCACCTAAATTGTATTGCTCAATCATCTCGTGCCACCGAGTCTCGAATTCCACCGGGCCAATATGTATGTTCCATATGAGCTTGTTGATAACTTTATTAAACACAGGATCTTGATTTAGGGTGACACTGACCTGCCGACGTATCGAGATCAAAATCAACCTATAATCATTCACCTTTTCAAAAGAAAAACATGGCTTATTAAATCGTACTTACCTTAGAAGGAACTGTCTTCATAATGTGCCACATACATAGCCGGTGCTTGGCTTCCGTAAACACCAATGGAATAGCTTGCTTCATTGCCGAATATTGATTCGTAATCATGAAAACTGGTTGCTTCTCATGTCATTTTAAGAAAGCTCTAAGAACCTATGCAATGTTTTCAATTGTCTCAACACTTATTAGAGAGGAACCGACAACAATGGAAGCTTTGTGATTGTCAACAGCCAAAGAAGGAACGAAAATCATCGCATGCCTGCAACAACTAACAACAATTAAAAATAATAAACGATGAGGAGACAACTTAAAAAACTTGGCTGTAATTGGAAAGCTTACTTGTTGGTGTGAAACGTCCCGTCGAATGAAATGACATTATCGAATTCTTTGTAGTTAATTCTAGCCACTTCATCTTCCCAAAAAATGGCGCTCAACTCTCGTTCATTGCACTTGTACTTGAAAAAAATAACCGGGCACAATATCTGTTAGGACCTGTAAATTCAGCTTTGGTATTTGATCTCTTACTCTGAATGATCTTTAGGACGATTACAGTGCAACGGAAACAATTATAAGAACAAAACAGAGTAATAAAACCAAGAACACACAGATTTATATGATGAAGAAGATGAACACAATATATTTGCTTCAAAGGTTTTTCAATTGATTGAAAATAAGACGATTACAATACGGAAGCGCAGGAAATTACAAAGGCCTAAACTGCTATTTATACTAGTTCGTAACGACCTTTCTGACATGACCTAGACGTGTGAAATCATCCAAGCCGTCCAAATAAAGTCGATTAAAGACATAGTCAAGTGAGAAGCACGTGCAGCTAACAACCTTTGAAAAACAGCAGAACAGGATCTTCACAGAAGACGAATCCGCAGACCCTCTGTGAGCCAACTCAGAGGCTCTACTGTAGAAGACTTGTAGGTTCTTATTACCAGAGGACCATTTTCCAGAACCTCTGTGAGAGACAACAGAGGTTCTGTCATTCTTGACTTGCACGATGAAACAACTTCTGTTGCTGGTCCTCTGTTGTCTTCTGTGGAAGATACCCTTCTGTCAACACTTGCAGAAAACTTTTTCATACTTTTACATTAAGTAAATATTGGAGCTAACAATCTCCCCCTAAGTATGAAAAAGTAAAAATGGACAGATGAATGCAAGAAATGACTAATTGAAAGAATTACAAGAGGAGATAAAACTCATCATCTGAAAATAATTACATA